TCTCTGTTTAAAAGCTTTGTAATTTTCCAGTTCAGGGCCACTTGATGAGACTCTGAAATGGGTCTATGTGAGTGGTCGCAGAGCTCAACTAATTAAATTCCAAATTTATCAATTTGGCTGCTTGGATTCCTATATTGTTTATGAACCCACTTCAATAGTGAGCTCAAGCCCCGCCTGAATTCCAGAGCAGGACCTTGTTTCAACAAAACAAAACAAAAATAGACCAATTAAACTGGGCATGGTGATGCATCCCTATATAATACCAGTACTTGGGAGACCAAAGCAGGAGGACCATGGAGAGTTTGAAGCCAACCTGGGCTACATAATGAATTCAAAACCAGCCTTAACTACATAGTGAAACCCTGTCTTTAAAAACAAAACAAAACAAAATTGTTCTTATTAAAAAAAATTTCTTTCTTTTCATGGGAGAAATATCAAAACTCAAACTTGTTAAGACTCACACTGCTGCGTAGAGTTTTGCTTTGAAAGCTGCACCTTCATTTGCTTGTTGCTTTAGATACATCTTCAATTCTTATTGGCTACTGCCTTGCATATCACAATGGAGGTGAATTCTGTCCCTGAGATCAACTCTAATGTCATCAAATCACTGAAGTCACAGCTGGATTACAAATGCCATCCAGTGATGCGCTCTTCCGGTTAACAACATCTGGTAATTTCACAGATGACTCCATCAGACTAGTTGTGCCACTGGGCACTGTTAGGTCATGGCACTAGCATGCTGGCAGGGTGGAAAGGAATCTTTTGATGCTGTGGAAGATGAAGGCACCATCCTTCCATGCAGAAGAGGGACACCATAAGAATGGAAAGAACAGAGACTCTCAAGTTCTGCAGTTGACACTGGAGGATACAGAGTTTTACTGAATTCCCTCTTGAGTTTGGACAACAAATCAGAAGATAATATGTAAATATTAATAATTGAAGTAGTGTGCTTGAAAGGAGGCCTGAAAATTTGCTTTGGAACATTTAATGGTGACATCTAGGTAAGGGATAAGGGTGAAACCAGCCATGGATGGGGGCTCAAGGGACTGTCCATAAGATCAGGGAAGGTGCCAAGACCCTCTTCAGCTGAGAAGGCATGACTGTTTTGAGGGAATTAAGTGGTTTATTTAATCAGTATAGAAGTATCAGAAATTGCCAGATATGATCTGGGAGGGAGACTAAGGTGATAGAAAATAAGATGAGGTGTAATACATTAGAGGGAAAAAGATAAGGTTTTTTTCTTTCTTTTTCCTCTTTCTCTTCCTTATACTGTGTGCATGTTATCCATCCTAGGGCAGGGCAGGTGTAGCACTCACACTCGTGATCCCAGTATTGGACCTTGAATCAGTAACAAACTACATTCACCCACATGCCTAAGATTGCATGAAGATTTGGGGGGACATTTAGACACAAGCCATAACATTCCATCCCTGTCCTCCCTCAATACTCATGTACATTCCTTTACAAAAAGGCATTCAGCTCATCTTCAAGAGTTACCAAAGTCCTAACAGTTTTAGCACTGCTGAAAAGTCCAAGTCCCAAGTTTCCTCTGAGATGTAAGGCAAACTCTTAGCTGTGAGCCCCCATACAAATGAAAAGAAAGTTAAACAATTCCAGCATTCAGTGGTACATCATAAATACTCCCATTTCAAAAGTTACAAATGGGGCTACAAAGGAATGGGACCAAAGCAAGTGCAAAGCTAGCAGGGCAAACATTAAGTCCTGTAGTTCCTTGTGCTGCATCCAAAGCAATCTGTGGCAAGATATGAATTTGAAAGGATTTGGGTGGCGCTTGCCCTCTCTCCCCAGCACCTCTAGTGGTTGTAGCTCCCATAGCTCTCTTTTGGGCCTGCTTTGCTCCCTCCTCGTATTTGCTGCAGATGATCCACATTCCCGGCTTCCTCAAACTTTGGGGCTCCATTGTACCATTGGAGTTACACTCACAACTTCAGGCACTGCCCTCTCAGGGGCACACTTGCTGGCCTCCCAGGCCACCTGAAATCTGTGTGGAAGCCTTCCTGACCCCCCAAACTCTTCTATCCTCTATGCACCTATAGCCAGCATCACATGGATGAAGCCAACGTCTATTGCTAGCCGAAGATGTAGCCAGGCTTTCCTTTATCTTGGCTATAGGGATTGAGTGCCTGGATTGTTAAGCACTGTGAATTCAATTTGGAGGAACATCTTCTCTAGGTTGTTGCCATTTTGGAACATGGTTCTCTGCGGCTTTCTTCTCAAAGCCAAGTCTTTCCCTTTTACAATTTTGAGGCTGCAAAGGATGGAGTCTTGCTGCTTTTTATGATGCCCTCAGGCTATCTTTTCTATTTTCCTGTTCCTTCTCAACAATCAAGATCTTCTCTGCTGTATCTTTGCAGTCCATACCTTTACTGAAGCTTCCTTTCTGGTCAATTTAAAGCATTTTAAATCATTCTTCTGGGTTCTTTGCTCTTGTTTCTCAGCTTAAATCTGGTGAAAAGCCCCCAACAGTAGTCATGCTACTGCTTCAACATTGGGCTGCTTTGAAATTTCCTCTATAACATTAGTCTGCCACCCTTAATCTCAGTCTCAGGAAAAGTCTCTGGATGTGAGCAAAATGCAAAGTTTTTGCCAAGCCATCACACACATCATCTGGAGTCCAATAGCCAGTGCAGTCCTTCCCAGCAGAAACCTCTGAAACCTGATCTTTACCAGCAGGATTCATGTTAGCCTTTGGGTCTTCTGATCAGAATCTTCCATATGGAACAGCCTAAGATATTCCAGCCTTATTTTTTTCAGCCAGAATCACCAAACCTTTTCAAACTCTTCCCATAAGCCATTTCCAAAGGCTCTTGCATTCCATGGTCAGGTATAGTCACAGCAAAATGCCACTTCTCTGGTATCAAACTGTTTTAAGTTACTTTTCTCTCATTATTGAGACAAAATACCCAACACCCAAAGTAAAAGGAGGAAAGTTTTATTTAGTTCACAGTTTGCAGAGGTTTCAGTCCATACATCAGCTGGCTCCAAGGTGGATGGTGTGGCAGACAGGAGCAATAGGGTTTCCTTAAACCTGTTTCAATAGTGTGGATTGCTCACTCTTTGAGTAATGCCCTTGTTTTTTGTTAAGTAGAATTATTAAGAGAAAGGGATGCAGCAAATACTTGAGATCTTTTTATTTACTTATTTTAATACTTGAGAGCTTTGAATTGTCTTGGTGTTTTTTTTGCTATTGCCTTGTCTTTAGGACAAATCTTACTAAGCCTGAAAATCTTGTTCTTTTCTTCCTTGCCCTATTTTTTTTTTTTTTTTGGTCTTTTTTTCTTTTTTATGGGTACTGGGGATCGAATTCATGACCACACACTTGCAAGGCAGGCACTTATGCTGCAGAGCTAAACCCCCAGCCCCTTCCTGCCATATTTGAGTTGGTTTTATTGATTGGATTTGTAATCTCTAAATACCTGCATTGTGTTTCCGATGTATTATGTAAGTGTAACATTGTCTTCCTTGATCTCCAAAGCTTTGTTACTTTAACTAGAAACATAAAAGTCATTATTGCTATGATTTTCATGAAATAAATAAATTTAAATATAACTTTATATTTGCAGTGTAAACTATCCCTCGAAAGAAATTACTTTTATATTTAGTTTCTCTAATTTTATTTCTAATAATTGTACTTCTTTCAATCTTAAATGAGTGGGCTTTAATTCTGCATTAATAGTATTTTGATCATGTTCAAGGATTTTCATAGCTTTAATCACTTCTTAAAATTTATATTTTCAGACAACTGCTTATAATCCTAGCACTTGGAAAGTTTGCAGCAGAAGGATTGCTGGAAATTCGAGGCCAGTCTGGGCTACCCAGTGAGATCCTGTCTCAAAGCCACCACCAACTACCAAAACAAACCACCACCAACAACAAAGGATAAAAATTAAGAGGGAGGTAAGGTCCTTTCCTCCCAGGAAGAAGGTATGCTAGATAGATGACAGTTTTTCCTTAACCTCTGGGCTGGATTTGGAAGAATTTACAAGTGCAGTTTTCTTTGAACTCAAACCTTGTCAACCAGCTAAATTATTTTATTTAGATTATAAACCCACAAAACCACCTGTTTAAAACAAGTCCCTACTTATCTAAGGCCAAAACAAAGAGCACTACAGTTCCATTCGGAATTCCTTTTCAGTAGGCTGAGCACTTTATTATTTTCAATAAACACCCTCCCATCTTCTACCTCTTGTCTGCGATTTTATTCTTAAACTTTATGAGACAAAGATCTTGGTTTTATATAAAGTCAGCTGCTTCATAACCACAACTGTTTTGGCTTCTAAGAAACTAGAACTCAGTTTAAAGTTTCCTGAAGAAAATCACTCATTCTGCGGAAATGGAGACATTTAATGCTTTAGTAGTTTCTGATCTTTCATTACCTTAAAACCATTTAAAATCATTTTGAATTATATGCTAAAAGCGAGTGGACTCATTTTTAAAAAATAAGTAGTAAAGCATACATCATAATATGTTAATAAGGTAAGAAATATCAAGAGCAACTGTTTTGGGCAACAGTTGACTAAAGCTCTCGAAACTTACAAAATGACGCCTTAGCATTACATTGGCGGTTGACAGAAATACGCGCTCCAGTCCAAATCCCTAAATTCTGTCTTCCGCTAAGATGTGTGGCCCGTATCCACAGAGATTGGAAAAGCGTGTGAGTGTCAGGGTTCCCCTTTCCTGCACAGTTTTAGGCTGCTTTCCTTTTCGGCGGGAAGAAAAACACCCGAGTTTTGTGAGCGCGCGGAGCACTACAGTCTCAGTGCCTAGACCCGCGACACTGTTTACGTTGTTTCTCACGAAACCACAACTCCCAAACTGCACCACGGTTCTAGAGCGGTCACTTCCGGTTTGGGCCAGCGCGGCTGCGCACCGTGTGTGGTTTTATTGGCTCGGGCTGCCTCGTGCGATGCGCATCACAGCGCCGTCAGTCGTGGGGGCGGGGAGACGCGGTGGCGGCGGCGGCGGCGGCGGCGGCGGCGGCGGGAGCTCGATCCAGAGGCGGTATCAGGGTGGAGGCAGCGGCTGCGCCTACACGGTGTTGGATCCCCTCCCTCCTCCATTCCCCCTCCTCCCCTTCCCCCTCAGCAGTGGTTTCCTACGAGTCCGAGACGTGCGGCCAGGCGGCGACAAGCTCCGGGTGAGGGTCTCCAGAGTGCGAGCGCGGCTTCCTGGGTGCGTGAGGAACGCCCGGGGTCCGGGAGGAGGTGAGGGCTGAAGGGGCAGATGTATCGACGCTGGCCGGACAGCGCGTGTGGTCCTGGCCTTAGGGTTGGCGCCCGGTCTCAGATCTGCCGCCGCCTGGGGCGTGCGGTAGCCCGAGGGGCTGCCGTGCGGGGCCTGGCCGGACCCGCCCTCCTTGTCGCGGCTGTCACAGTTGTCCAGCGCCCGCGGCCGCTCGCCCTCCGGGCAAATTGTCAGCCCGGCCCTTGTATGTGTCTTCACCTTCAGGTGCAGTGCCCTGCCGTGTTGCCGTCGAAAGACCCTGCCCGCTTTCATCCTTCCCGTGTCGTTTATCACTTCTAGGAATCTCTTCGGGGCAGTCTTCCGAAGGTTCTCTGCTCAGTACTGCTGTAGCAGTCACTGGGCTGGGACGCTGGTTCCTTATTCTTAGCTGGCGCCTCAGGCAGCCTGCTTGCGATAGTGTCTTGGGCCCTATTCTCCCAAGCTCCCTTTGACTTTTCAGTTGTAGTTAATTTCTTTTGAAATTGCCGATATCAAGGTTTCCATTTAAGTTCTTAGGCGTCTGTGAGAAAGTTTAGATTGGAGACTTTTTTCCCATCTCTTGGTTTTTGACCTTAATTTAAACGTTCGCCTCTGAAAGTTTTGCAACTTTATGAGATGGCCCAACAGTAGATTTTGTTAGAAAAATTAACTGTCTAGCTGAGTTTTTGGAGGGCACAGTGCTTAATTGCAGACTTCTGTGGGTTTTTTAAATTTAAATTTTAATTTTTTAAAAATTTTTAGTGTAATGGTCTTTTAGCATTAAAACTTTTGCACTCTGGATTTCTCAACCCTCCCCATTGTATTCATCCTTGCCCACCTTAAAACGCCGAGAAATCTGTCATAACGCTTAAAATTATTTGTTTACAAATTTTTCTTAGTGAAATGTTAAATTACTTAAACTGAAATTTTTTATTTTTACTTTGTTTTATTTTTTGGTTTGAGGAGTTGAACCAGGACCTTCTGCTTGCCAAGCAGGCATTGTTAACCCTCCACCCCACAGCTGTATTGTTGGAAGATACAGGATAAACCTTAACCGTTCTGAGGACTGAAGTGGACTTTCAAAAGACACTTTAAACGGGGTCTGCTTATAATTCTCAATACATGTGATAGTAGCTGACTGGTGGTGACTTACGAAATTTGGAAAATCTAAATTAAATATGAACCCGGCGGTGTACGCCTGTAATCCCAACACTTTTGGGAGGCTGAGGCAGGAGGATCATTTAGAGACCAGGTTTGAGACCAGGCTGAGCTACAAAGTGAGCTCAAGGCCAACTTGAACTGCATAGAGAGGCATCTTTTCTTTTGACATATTTATAGTTGCCTACCTATCTGTATGTGTTTCTCTAGCTTTTGGGCTGTTTGAGGGATAAGAGTGTGATGCTCAGAATTTAACAGTTGTTTTTCCATCTCTATAATGTATATATAAATGGATAGATTTTTAAAACATCAGTAGTTTCAGTTTACTAGTGCACTCCCCCCGTCCCCATGTGGCTTGAAGGGGTTTTGTACTGTGCTATGTCCCCAGCCTTTATTGTTTTGTTTTGAGAAAGTCTCACTAAAGCTGCCCAGACTGAGCTCACATTGTGCTCCTCCTGCCTCAGTTTCCTGCAATGCTGGGATTAAAGGCATGGTGTGCATTTTCTTTAGTATAAATCATATTTTGTTTCCCTAAGTGAAAATAATTTAATAAATTATTAAATAATAATATAATAAATAATTTTTGTTGTTGGTTTTTGAGACAGGGTTTTAATGTATTGTGCAGGGTAGCCTTAAACTGACTAACCGAGGCTGACCTCAGACTCTTGGCAGCCCTCCTATCTCAGCCTCCTGAGTGCTGAGTTTACTGGCATTCTGTGCCATGTTAGGCTGGGTTTTATGCTTTCATAGAATATCTGACTTTATAGCCTGCAGGCCAAATCCTTCTTGCTGTCTGTTTTTTTAAGTTAAAAAAGTTTTGGTTTTTTTTTTTAGATAGGGTCTTGCTGTTGTAGTTCATATTAGGTTTGAACTCACTATATAGTCCAGGCTGGCCCCAAACTCATGGCGGTCCTCCTGTCTCAGCCTTCAAAGTGCTGGCTTTACAGGAGTGTGCCACTGTGTGTGGCCCAGTTTAATAACATTTTTATTGGAAATAGCCTTCTCCAGTCTTTCAGATATTATCTGAGTGCTTCTGTATTTTCTGCACTGAAGATCTCTAGAAAGAGGTTTGATAAACCAAGTTTTCCTCACCTGTCATATAAAAGAAAATTCACAAGTGATGGTGATAATGGTTAATAGTCAATGCATACTAATGAGTTATTAGATTCCACTGCTGTATGTGCATTAAAGTCATTTAATCCCAGTAACAAACAGCCTGTAAATATACAAATTATTATTCCTATTTTACAGGTTAGGAAACTGAGGCATGAAGTTAGGTAACTGTTGACTCAGCTAGTAAAGGGCAAAGATGGGGTCTGCATCCATGTGATCTGGTTTCAGAATCCAAGCTCCTAATATATGTGGGAAGTTAGGACAGTCCAGAGGGATATAAGGTAAATTCCTTCTCATGCCCTCATTTTTCTGGTTTCATTTGTTGTAGGTGACCACTGTTAAAAGTTTGATACAGATTGTTGTAGCACTTTTTACAAACATAAATATTTATTTGCAAGTCTGTCGGAGTATACTTTATCCCTCCTCCCCAGTTTCCTGTTACTAACATCTAATGTCTGCGTGGTGTATTTATTTCAGTGGATGAATCAATACTTATTCCATAGTTAACATTTGAGCTCACCTTTTATGTTGTAGAATTAAAAAAGAAACAGTCATATGCCTTTATTTTTCTGTTTAAAATACAGTGTTTCTGGATTTTGTAATTTACTAATTTTCAAATTGATATACATTTAGCATTTTCTTTGAAATGGGAAAAGTTTCTTTGAAGTTACTTCTCTTTTGTGCATTATGTGGGATTGCCCCTTTTGTCTAATTATTATTTTTAAATTTTGAGACAGGATCTGAGTAAATTGCCCAGATTGAGTTCCAAGTTGTGATCCTCCTGTCTCTGCTTCCCAACAGCTGGGTTTACAGCTGTGTGGCATCATGCCTAGCACTTTTTCTCTTTTAAAAGTTGCATCTCATACTACCAGCTGCTTTTTCCAACAAAAATCTAATATTTTGAGTTGATATTCTGGCTATACTACATCATCATAAAGTTCTGGTTTTCTTCTCTTTATTTCTGGATCTGATAAATGGACTCTCAGCTTTTAAGACAGTGTCTCACTGTGTAGTTTAGGCTGGTGTTGATCATTTGTGATCCTCCTGCCTCAGTAATGCCTGAATGTTGGGATTATAGGTTTGTATATGCTGAGGGCATTTTGGTTTTCTTTCTCATATATTCTTTATGATCTGTCTTTCTAGCTAGTGCTAGTCTCATCTCTTGGTCAGATTTTGAATTTTTTTCTTTTTAAGATTGAGGTCTTGATGTTTTGCCTAGGATTGCCCCTAACTCCTAGGCTCAGGTGATCCTCCTGCCTCAGCCTTCTGAATAGCTGGTACTACAGGCCTGTGTCCTAGACTTTGGTTTTTTGTTTGAAGGCCGTACATATTCTAGAATGTTACTTGCGCCTCATCACTGAATTTCCTCCTGCACTTTTTTGGGGACAGCACTGAATTTTTTCCTTAGTTATGCCAGGTGCATTTCCTGGAAGTCTTCCTGTAGCTTTGGCTCTGTTCTGCTTCATAAGCATACTGTTCAACTTATTGGAGGTTTGTTTCTTTAGACCTTTCCCATCAGTCAGCCTCCTCACTGAGACTGGTGCTTCCTCATCAAAGTGCTTTTTTGAGCATTTGTTCCTCTTTCTGAACTTTCAGAAGTTATGTATGGAATGTAATCTTGAACACCTCTTTCTTACTTTTGATTTATTCGACACCTTCACTTCCTCAACTTCAAGATTGTGAGGCAGGGCATTGAGTTTTTTGTGTATTTTATTTTGTTTGTTTATTTTATTTTAATAGCAGTGATTCTTTTTTTTTTTTTTTTTTGTCTTTTTCCTTTTTATCGGTACCAGGGATTGAACTCAGGACTGCCTGCTTGCAAGGCAGACGCTTATGCCGCTGAGCTAAATCCCCAGCCCCAGTAGCATTGATTCTTACTGTTATGATTTCCCCCAGAATTCTTAACAAAGACAACTAAATGGATGGTCAAGAGTAGTGATCTCTAGGGCTTCTCCCAGATGGAATGCTGGTACTGCAGGATGATTGTTAACTTTTTTTCGGTCTGTTTGCAGGAACGTGGCCAGAGGCATAGAAGTTAAAAATTCCTGTCAGTCTGGAGATAGAGTTACTGTCATAATTTTCACTTCAGATCTGTCCTTAACTACCTTACTAACTTTAGCAGAACTTTGGGGAACCTGAATCAAGTGAACAGGTAGACAGTTAAACACCTTTGTTTTTTCTTTTTCTGTTTCTTGGGCACTTTCATAATCTTTTCAACTTTTTTTTTTTCCTTTTTTTTGGCATCTCTTTTCCTTCTTGCATTAGGAGGCGCCTTGCTGTTTTCTCCTTATCCCAAGGTTCTTTTTTTGTTTAGTTTTGTTTTTTTCTTTTGACAGGGTCTCACTGTGTAGTCCAGGCTGGCTCAGTATCACTGTTATAGTCCAGGCTGGCCTCAAACTCAGGGTGATCCTCAGCCTTGACCTGCTGAGTGCTGGAGTTACAGGTGAGCGCCACCATGTCTGGTTATCTTCAGATTTTGAGACACTGTCCTGTTTATCTTTTTCATATTGTTCTAAAAAAATGTGATGGCAGCAACCAGTGCCTCTGAACCTGGTGACCTTGGAGAAGCATGCAGTTGTGATAGCATTGATAGTATTGGGTTGACTTGAATTCAGATATTTCTTCTGAAGAGGTCAGTCATCATATCCAAAGGTTTTATTTATTTATTTTTTAAGACAAGGACTTGTGTAGTTTAGGCTGGCTTTGAACTCATTATGTAGTTTAGGCTGGCCTCCAGTTTGGGGGGAGTCCTTCTGCTTCATCCTCCCAAATGCTAGGATTATAGGCATGCACCACCATTCCCAGCCCAAAGATACTTTGACTACAGTTACATTGCTGTCCCTTGTTGTATGTGAGAAGCTACAGTATTATATTTATTTGTTTTTATAGTTTGTACTTATATTCTTCTGGCTAATCACAATGTGAGTAAAATTTCAGAAGCTTATGCAGCAGACATTTAAAGAAGAGTTCTAGCAAAGTTGCATTGATAGGATTCTTTGGATAACTTTGCAAAATGTTATTGGAAAATCCGAGTTTAAGGCGTGAGAATTGTAGGAAAGCAGATCCTTCAGCTCTTGAGTAAAGTTATCTGTGTTCTGGGCAGCAGTAACCAGTCTGTGCATAAATACTATAAATTGCAAAGTCAGTTCTTTGCTATTTGCTAATTATTTGGTAATTTGAAAATCTTCACATAGGATTTGTAGCAAGTATTACATTACTGTAAAAACTCTTCTTTGTAGACCAGTGGCTCTGCTTTTTTAAGATTCTGTAACTGCTGAAGGTTGCTGGGGAACTGGTTTTTGTTTGTGCTGGGCATGTTGGCTGCCAGCTATGTCTGCTGTGAGCAATTACCAGAAAGCTCACACTTGTCGCCCTGTTTCAGCTGTGATATGGAATTGTGTTACTGGAGATGACCAGAAATGGCAATGGGGAGCTTGGCAGGTGCTGCTTGCCAATTTAGCTAAGTGTGTGTGTGTGTGTGTGTGTGTGTGTGTGTGTGTGTTACTGGGGATGAAATCCAAGGCTTTGGCACTGAGTTCCATCTCCAGCCTCTCTTTTGGTGGTACTAAGGCAAGATTTTGCTAACTCACCAAGTTGCTCAGAGTGGGCTCAAATTTGTAATTCGGTTAGCCTCCCAGAGTACCCGGATTATGAGCATGCACTGCTACCCTGGCTTAGTGTGATGTGTTTTAAAAATTAATGTTTATGAGTAGCTTTCCATGTGAGTAAATATACATTTACTCTTTTTCTTCCCCAGTGCTGGGTATTGAATCCAGGTCATGAGGCATGCTAAGTATGCACTCTTGTCACTGAGCAAAATTCTAAGCCTCTATTTTTTTTTTTTTTTTTTTCAGGTTAGTCTACCACTGAACTATATCAACTCTTTTTCATTTTGAGACAAGGTCTTGCTAAAATGCCCAGGTTAGCCTTGACTCTTGTAGTCCTTTTGCTTCAGCCTTTCTACCCCTGGGATTGTAGGCTAGACCACCATCACTGGGTTGATAGTGTTCTTTTAAAGCTGATTTAGAAGTATTTTAGGAATTTATGCATTCTGTAGTTCTTCCTGGTACTGTCTTGGTGGAGCTGCTCTTCCTATGTAGGTTCTGCTTGACCCTTAAAAGCATGTTTGCTGCCCCTTTGTATAGAATCTGGGTGACCGCAGAATGGACTGTACCATCACTTAAAAAACAGATATATTTTGAGACATGCTGTTAGATGATTCATTGTTTCGTGAACATCATAGCATGTTTACACAAACCTAGGTGGCATAAATTGATCATTTGACAAGGGCCCTTAGACCCCACTAAGGTGAATGAGACTGTTGTGGGTGCAACAAGGCATACTGTCTTAAAGTAAGTGATGAGTTTTTAACATAAGAGTGTACTTTAGTGAGGAAAATGTGTAGTATAGTAAATATGTAAACCAGTAATGTAGTCATTTATTATGATTATATAATTACTATGATTATAAAGTAGCATAGACACATGAATAATGTCTTACATTCTGACTTTTCATTATCTACAGAGTCACTAGGCAATAGGAATTTTAAAAATTCTCCATTACGTTCTTATGGGGCTGTTGTTGAATATATGCCATTATTGCTTGAAGTGTTACATGGCCCATGGATGTGTATTTTTCTGAGGATAAGGAAAGTACAGCTTTCTTCATATCTATCAGTAGTCCTGGTATTTAACAGGTGGTTAATCAAATGGTCTTTTAAAAAACTTAAATTGGTTCATCTTCGTTTGAGCTTATTACTGAGTGAAGTGCTTTTTAGAGTCTGTGTGAAATAAGTATATTTGATACTCCTAAGTTGGAAGTGGAGAAATTGATTAAATAGGGGAGTTTCTCATGTTACTCCTGGTTTTGAATTTTCTGGATTGGAATATACCATATTTTAGACGGAGAGAGAAGGGCATATGTTAGCTAATGATACAGCGTGGCTCAGATTGTTTTGAGTGTCCAGACAGAAATGGCAGGCTGAATTTTGAAGATTGCCAGATTATCTTCAGACATAGGAAAACCCTTGAGGGAAAGGACACTTAAAAGTTTTTTCCCCCTCATAATTGGACATGGTAGCAGTTTGCCTGTAATTCCAGTACTCTGAGAGGCTGAGTAAGAAGATTTTAAGTTTGGACCCAACCTGGACATTTAGCACTTCAGTGAGACTGTTTCAAAAAGGGAAGGGTGGGGCTGGGCTGTACCTTAGTGAACAGATCCTGGGTTCAATCCCCAGTACCACTAAAAAGGTTTTTTTTTCTTTTTAAAAAATAGATAATTATAGGAAAACAGGATTTTTTTCCCCCTGTTACATATTCTTGCTAAATGTTTGTATTTTCATAGCATCTATGTACTAGAAAACAGCATATAAATCATAACGTTTTGAAGACTAAATTAATTAACTTACTAAATTTTGGCCATGTAAGTTTTTATCTTTTAGATATTGTTAGTGTATTATATAATTAGTTTTCATTGGCATTATACTCACTTTTTAAAAAATAAATGCATAAAATTTTTATTAGTGCATGTTTGTAGCACATAATGATTACATGCGTTGGGGGAGATGATACTTGGACATAACACGTCTTGATTTCTTTTTCATTGCCTAGCATAATCACTTTAGTCCCCAAATTACAGTTCAGTGATACATGCATAGTTATATTTATATAAACTCATTTCTTTGTTCAGGTAGGAAGTAGTGGTGGGTGATAGCTTAAGACTTTAGAAGAATGGAACAGTTATTTTTTATTTACTTGAAATTTATTTTATCCCTTTTTATTCTAGAAAAAATACAGTAATTTGAAATAAAAGATTTAGAAATAGAATAAAATACGTATAAAAAAGAAAACCTACGAAAAGAATGAAGCGTGTTTAGTGATAACTTGTTACTTGTTAGTTGGTTCTGGGAGCTACAATTAGTACCAAAAAATGAAGAGTGCCAAAGCAGTTGTTTTAGCTGGAAAGAGTAAATAAGGCTATGGTCACCAACAAGTTCAAGTGGCGAGTACCAAATAGATTACAACCACTGGGACAAAAGTTTTGCATCAGAATGTGTTGAGTACTATACCAAGGTTTGATTTCTTTTACCAAGTGGAAACATGATTCAGCAATTAAGAATAAAAATTGTGTGTACTTGGCAGGGATGGGAAAAGTGGAAAATAGACTAAAATAAATAGCACTGAACTAGCAAAAGGAACAAGATGAATTTTTTAAGGCTATGTTAAGGTTTAATAGAGAAATATATAACACAAGTTATACAAACATACAAGAAACTACAAGCTTGGCTTTATGATGGTCAGCCACAGAGTTGGATGAGGAAGCGTGCAGAGGTTATCTGTAGAGGTATCTGCACACTGGAGGCAGGACAGTCCAGGCTGAGGTCTGGAGTGTACTGCAGTGTTCCATACAAGTTTGTATCAGGAGATCGATGGGTCTGTGACAGAAGGCTGGAGAATCTATGCCAGAAGGCTGAAGAGTTTATGCAGGAGAGCCGATACGTTCCAAGTGTAAGTTGAACAGTCTGTGAAGTCCAGGCTGAAGGCAAAGACCGAGCTCCTCTGAAGAACCAGCAATCAGTTTTTCCTCATTTCCCTTTTATTGTATGCAGGCTGAGGTGGGAGCAAGGGACTTTTATACCCACACGATCTCTTGTGCAGGCTGAGGATGTTTACAAAGTAGGGACCTTTGTCCCCTGCTGAATCTTAGTTAAACTTCTAAACTTCTCAAGTTGACACAATGACCAACATCCTAGGATATAAAGACATTGCTCTACAGCCTAGGATGTAGAACTGCTGAGTTGCTTAGTTAAGCTTCTAGACTTCTCATGTTGACACAGTGTATCAGCCATTACAATCCACGCCTTGACAACTTGGCCACTAGACACATTTCTTTAAATTAGTCAGTCTCCAGATACATTATACAACTTACAAATGGAAATGCACTAATTCTCTCACCAGAATAGGAGGTAAATTTTCCTTGGATGATGCTTATTGTCATTTTACAACTTGAAATTTTAGCATAGCTTAGCAATCTTTAAGACCTAGTATTAAGTCTATCAATATTATGTTACATTAGAATCATATTGGGGAGAAATAGTACAATTACAATCCTCTTTTCTGTAGCTGATCATGGGGCTGTAGCTAGTATTTAGAACTACCTTCTTTCACTACCTATTTTGTATTCCCCTGGCCTTCAGGAAGTAGCTCAGCAGATCTTGGTAACACTAAGAGGCCCCTTACGGGATCTTCTGCACTACTATGTATATTCTTTCTTTCATTGTGGAGTCACAGTACCATATCCCCTTGACAGTCTGGGTCAGTCACCCCTGACAACACTGTGACTGTCTTTTGAGCTTGTTTCCTCAGAGGCATGAGAAGACCTAAATGACCAAGGGAAAGTCTTAGCTTCCAGTTCAGTGGTATCATTGTTGTGCTTTGTGATACA